GGGGAAATTAAGTGAATTTCAAAGTTGTATTGTGAAAGAATAAACTAGTTTTATTTAAGAAAGGACTTGTGTAGCTCAAGTTTCATCGGAAAGAAATTATACGGGAAATTAACTAACGACCAGAGACGTAACAGTATGTTTACCAAGTGACATTTTTTATTTGATTGTATTTGATCGCGGTAATTTACATTGAGTACGAAATTTGGAACGATGATTTCTTTGACAACGTAGTAGGGAAATTCTGGTTTAGTATTTTCTCAATACAAATAATATAAAGATTTTCTGGAAGGAATTAGCACGAAAATAACCTAACATATTTTCAGTTATACAAAGTTAATTTCTTACAGAGACATCTGTTTCTCTTATTTATGTGCATGATTAAAAAGGGTTAATATTTTTTCTGCAAAATATAAGGCTTAGAATTCATAAATTTTTCTGGGAGTTTTAAATTTTGTTGGCAATCCTCAACATTTGGATATGGTTGTTCTGTGTGTACCGAGGCATGAGTCTTCTGTTACAAATAATAGAATTTAACATTTTACAAACTGAAATAAATATAGATCATGAACAAAAGTATCCTTTTACTACTAAAGATACACATTGAACATTGAAATTAAACGATTTAAACTCTAAAACTATTTAATAAAAGAGAGACATCCTGCACATTGAAATTAAAAGTTTTAAACCCTAAAACTATTTAATACAAGAGAAACATCCTGCACATTGAAATTAAACGATTTAAACCCTAAAACTATGGAATAACTATATTTCTGTTACGTTTTTTATTTTAATTAGCAGGACATTTGATAGATAGAGAATATATATATATGAATTTAATTTTTATTTTACTCTGGTGATCTGTAATAAGATATGAAAATATTAGAAAAACAGTAACAGATGAATATAATGTAGTAACATTTAATATTTTATAGAGAAAGTTCTTACTGAGAGGAACGGTAAAGGTAAGAAAAATATTTGTTAAGGCTCATAACTGTAAAAAAATGTATTTGAACAAACATAAAATACCAAGAATTTAATATGGAAGTAATAATGACATTTCTCCATACCTGTAAATACAAATTGTGGAAGTAATAATGACATTTCTCCATACCTGTAAATATAAATTGTGGAAGTAATAACGACATTTCTCCATACTTGTAAATATAAATTGTGGAAGTAATAATGTCATTTCTCCATACCTGTAAATATAAATTGAGGAAGTAATAATGTCATTTCTTCATATCTGTAAATATAAATTGTGGAAGTAATAATGTCATTTCTCCATACCTGTAAATATAAATATGGCCTCAGTGTCAGTAACTTGCGCTAACTTTGTACTGACATTCTGTAACATTTTGTAGGAGGCTGAAAAATTAGTTTCAAAATCCCTTAAAAAAGTCATACCATGACCTCAGTGTCAGTAACTTGCACTAACTTTGTACTGACATTCTATAATATTGTGTAAGAGATTGAGGTTCCCCGATAAGTCATGATCCTTCTAAAACCTCCAGCGCGCATGCTCCCAGCGTCGCGTGACTTCCACTGTCGGAACAGTATGTTACATTAAGTTAGTTTTGTGTATATATATATAAAATTATAATCACTATTTACATGTACAAAAAAACCCGAAGCAGCTGTGCAACCTGCAGTTAGCAGGAATGGGACCATCTTTCTAAGTTGTCTAACTTCATGTTCAAATACGACAATAATATTAAATTGTTTCGCTGTAATAACAAAAATACAAAGACAAAGTAAACACTGCCTCTGGTCCATGAAATATATGTTTAAACGGCTTACAATAATGGTTTAATTGCCTAGGGTAACTACAGGGGTTAGGGAAACAGAACTAATCCAAAATTATCATGCGAGTCTTGCAACTCAAAAGAATCGTAAACCAAAACCAAAACCAATCCTGGTTCTACAGGCTGTTTGACGTATACAGTGTTGAGCCTGGCACAGTTGTCCCCTATTTGTATTACGAGCGTTCGGAAGCTGAACCAGAATAAAATGCAGTCACTACAGTACTGTAACATGGTAAGTAATGGTAATGTGTTTCACATAATTTATTGTACTTTGTAAGAACCTAGTTAGGCCTATGATGCACTCCAGTGGTTCAGCGGTAAATCTACATGCTTACGACGCTAAAGTTCGGGTTTCGATATCCGTGGTGGGCAATTCGTAGATAGCCCATTGTGTTACTCTGCTCTTAACGACAAACCAAACGCACAACCGTTGAAATACTGTGTGGTTGTAGTGATCTACTTAGTGTAAGATTTTTAACTATGCAAAAGTAATATTAATGCAATATGTTCTGGTAGAAATATACAGTTTAATGTAAATATTAATATACGTACATCTGTTAACTTTAATATGTATATTATCTTCAGTTTAATGTATATATTATCTGTTAATTTTCATGTATATATTATCTGTTAATTTTCATGTGTATATTATCTTCAGTTTAATGTAAATATTAATATACGTACATCTGTTAACTTTAATGTATATATTGTCTTCAGTTTAATGTATATATTATCTGTCAATTTTTATGTCTATATTATCTTCAGTTTAATGTAAATATTATCTGTTAATTGTTATGTGTATATTGTCTTCAGTTTAATGTAAATATTAATGTATGTACATCAGTTAAATTTTATGTGCATACTGTCTTTCACATTTGGCTTATATATACCATTATTTCATCTATACTATGTCGAGTTCTAACATTTTATAAAACTTGAAAGTTTACAACTCCAGACAGTAATAACCAGAACTGTTTTCATGAATACAAAACCAAAACTAACCGTTTGACTTGATAACACAATCATCGTATTATTTTTATCTTACCTCTGGTTATTCCTACAGTGTTTCTCATCTTGATGTTCTTATAATATCCTTGACTTGTCTGTTGTATTACCAGGTTTTATTTGAACGTATTGTATCCTTGGATTATATATGTTACCCCGTTGTATCCTTGGATTATATATCGTGCAGTACTGTTACCATGTTTTATCCATGGAGTACGGTTAACATGTTGTACCCTAGGGTTGTATATCGTGGAGTACTGTTACCCCGTTGTATCCTTGGATTGTATATCGTGCAGTACTGTTACCCCGTTGTATCCTTGGATTATATATCATGCAGTACTGTTACCATGTTTTATCCATGGAGTACGGATAACATGTTGTATCCTAGAATTGTATATCATGGTATACTGTTACCCTGATGTATCCTAGGATTGTATATCGTGGATTAGTGTTACCCTGTTGTATCCTTGGATTGTATATCGTGGAGTACTGTTACCTTGTTGTATCCTAGGATTGTATATCGTGGATTAGTGTTACCCTGTTGTATCCTTGGATTGTATATCGTGGAGTAGTGTTACCCTGTTGTATCCTTGGATTGTATATCATGGAGTACTGTTACCTTGTTGTATCCTAGGATTGTATATCGTGGATTAGTGTTACCCTGTTGTATCCTTGGATTGTATATCGTGGAGTAGTGTTACCCTGTTGTATCCTTGGATTGTATATCGTGGAGTACTGTTACCCTGTTGTATCCTTGGATTATATATCGTGCAGCACTGTTACCATGTTTTATGCATGGAGTACTGTTAACATGTTGTATCCTAGGGTTGTATATCGTGGAGTACTGTTACTCTGTTGTATCCTTGGATTTTATATCATGGAGTACTGTTACCCTGATGTATCCTAGGATTGTATATCGTGGATTAGTGTTACCCTGTTGTATCCTTGGATTGTATATTGTGAAGTAGTGTTACCCTGTTGTATCCTTGAATTGTATATCGTGGAGTACTGTTACCCTGATGTATCCTTGGGTTGTATATCGTGGAATACTGTTACCCTGTTGTATCCTTGAATTATATATCGTGGAATACTGTTACTCTGTTGTATCCTTGTATCACATATTGAGGAGTACTGTTACCATGTTGTATCCTTGAATTATATATCGTGGAATACTGTTACCCTGTTGTATCCTTGTATCATATAACGTGGAGTACTGTTACCATCTTGTATCCTTAGATTGTATATCGTGGAGTACTGTTACCCTGATGTATCCTTGGGTTGTATAGCGTGGAATACTGTTACTTTGTTGTATCCTTGGATTGCGTTCTGAGTTCTATACAGCAACCTAATGTTCCCGAGTTGTACAGCACAGCACAGTATACTGAGTTCTACACCACAACATAATGTTCCTGAGTTGCACATCACAGCACAGTATACTGAGTTCTATACAGCAACATAATGTTCCTGAGTTGTACAGCACAGCACAGTATACTGAGTTCTACACCACAACATAATGTTCCTGAGTTGTGTGGTGTACAACTCAGGAATATTATGTTGCTGTATAGAACTCAGTATACTGTGCTGTGGTGTACAACTCAGGAACATTATGTTGCTGTATAGAACTCAGTATACTGTGGTGTGATGTGCAACTCAGGAACATTATGTTGTGGTGTAGAACTCAGTATACTGTGCTGTGGTGTACAACTCAGGAACATTATGTTGCTGTATAGAACTCAGTATACTGTGGTGTGATGTGGCACAGTATACTGAGTTCTACACCGCAACATAATATTCCTGAGTTGTACACCACAGCACAAGAAATACCACACAAAATTTGTACACCATCAATCTCGTTTCAACAAAAAAACTGAAATGAGAACTTTACAAGTTACATTGAATATCACATGGTTTTGATCTAAAGTCGGAAGCAGAGTTTGAGGTTGAGCACAATAAGCTACATGTGCTTTGCCCACCACGGGTATCGAAACCTGGATTTTAACGTTATAAGTCTTGCACTGTGGGGAGCGCAGTGTGTTAGTACGAAGTATTCGTAGCTACTACGATAATATTGAATACTTTTGTGAAATCTGTCAAAATACGTCCTAAAAAAGTTTGTCTGATAGTTGTAACAGAACAAGTACAAACTACCTGCAAACTTCACATTGAGAATCGTGTACTTGTCAAAACCAACATGTTTCAAAGATAGCTTTACCTGTTCCAACAGTACTAGAACCACGAACTTTACCGGACCTGTTTTTATGTCGGATCTCTCATGAAGAAGCATTTTGTTAAATGAAACCATCGAATTAGCTAACGATTTAAAATCAAGATATTGTAAGAAACAACTCTGTGTAAGTTTTGAAACTTGGTTTTATCGACTCGCGTTTTATTTTTATAAAGAAATTTATGAACAAACTAAGTAGAGTTGAGGACCTTAATTTTGCTTATTTCTTTATTGTTGAATTTTGTGCAAAGCTACTCGAAGGATATCTGCGTTAGCTGCCTCAACCTTTGAGTTGATAAACTAGAGGGAAAGCAGCTAGTCAACATCACCCACCGTCAACGTTTGGACTACTATTTTTTACCAACAAATAGTGGGATTGAGCGTCAAATTATAACACTTCTGCAACTAAAATGGCGAGCATGTTAGGCGGTGGGTTTTGATTTTCGGTGTTTTCTGTAACTAGGAATGTTTGTTCTATTACACAGTGTCCACAAGTTATAAAAAGAACACAGTGTCTTGTGTAACTAGGAATGTTTGTTCTATTACACAGTGTCCCACAAGTTATAAAAAGAACACAGTGTCTTGTGTAACTAGGAATGTTTGTTCTATTACACAGTGTCCCACAAGTTATAAAAAGAACACAGTGTCTTGTGTAACTAGGAATGTTTGTTCTATTACACAGTGCCCTACAAGTTATAAAAAGAACACAGTGTCTTGTGTGTAACTAGAAATGTTTGTTCTATTACACAGTGTCCCACAAGTTATAAAAAGAACACAGTGTCTTGTGTAACTAGGAATGTTTGTTCTATTACACAGTGCCCTACAAGTTATAAAAAGAACACAGTGTCTTGTGTGTAACTAGAAATGTTTGTTCTATTACACAGTGTCCCACAAGTTATAAAAAGTGTCTTGTGTAACATTCCTAGTTACACAAACAATGTCCTGTCCACTATTACTGGTCTCAATATATGGAAAAGTGTCTTATCGTTCCAGTAATTTCTAAACGATAAATTAATGTGATACTACATGTTCCAATACGTTTTCTTTTTTTCTGTTTCATACTTACTTTTGTATTTCACCATAACCTGTTGTGTAGTTTAATTCCAGGAATAATGACGAATATTAACATAACATAACCTATTGGTACATATCGGCTGTTCCATCTTCTAAACTAAATTCATACAATTAATAACTAAATTTAAAAAAATCTTAACCCATCCCTTAACACACATTGTCGTATCAGTTTTTGACAGCTTTTCACATGTTGCAACACACACTGTTAAGTGCACGAGATTTAATAGTTTTTATACTCAATCTGTTTACGAAAATAGTTCAAGGTCACGAGCTATCAACTACTTTAGTAACAAGTGTTGAGCAACAGTAAAGACAGAGAACATCAACAGTTCTGACCTTTAGAAACAAAAAATATATATATATAGTTTGTGTGAAAAAATCACAGATAGATAAGTTTATCTACATGGCATGAATAAATGAAAATACGTATATACTGTTAAATCACTATGACAACTACTAACACTTGTTTAGAAGCAGAATATCCGAGTGGGCCTATACGTTATGTACGTGTAGTGTTGATATACGTAAAACTCACCCCTACGAAAGTTTGTCAAGGCGTATTCAAATGAGTAAGAATATACGTGAACCCCAAACTATCATTTGTTTCACCACTTAGTTTTGTTTTTATAGAGCAAAGCCACACAGTAGACTATTTGAGCTATGTTCAAAATGGGGCATTGAACCCTGGATTTCAGCGTTGCTAGTCAGTAAACTTACCGCTGACCACAATTTATCATTGAGTTATACCAATTTCGGAAATCCCAGCCCTCATCAGAAACACTTAAAATTGTATTTAAACTGCAACACGTAGCCAGCGAATACCAGTAGATCCGAGAAGTGGGTTGCTATGTGCTTGTAGTGCGAACTGGTACACAGCAACTTTAGTGACGTAAGCATAATCATCGCTTTTCGTAACGAATCAAGCACCACGTGGAAGGTGATGCTATACACGACATCAGATTACAGGTACGTTGTATAATTCAAGCAAACAGGTATTTCGTCTGTGCAATAACAGGATCATTACTAAATTATGACCTATTAAAATTCGATAACTAGGGCGAAATGGGAAAATTTGAAGCAAACAAAATACTGATTCAATAGTTGAAAGGTTACATGCCACAGAAAATTATATTTAATATATATATTGCATTTTACTAACATTCCTTGAAATTTGATTTGATTATGAAAATTAACGTAATGTACTTTTATGTATCGTCTGCATATGGGTTATTTTCCCCTTTTACTTTATAGGTTTGCCGATCTACTATTATTCAGAGAAGTTATTATTGCCCCACAAATTGCATATTGTAATAAAAAAAATGATGTTTCATACTAATGCATGTTATACGTTCATTCGAAGCGATAACGTGTATATATACCTTATCGAGTGGACTTAGTAATCAAACGTTATATTGCCACACAGAGGGTGGCGGATTTTCCTACATTTTACCTGACTTTCGCACGAACTATGGATGCCTCTGGCAGAACAATAGGCAAATGACAGGATGTAAACTACAGTTACGTTATGATCCAGAGAACCGGGGAGAAATCGAGGCCACCCCCCACTCCCCCAACCTTCCGTTTGTTACAAGGGGTCTTTCCCCGTTTTTCTAAACGTAAATACGATACTGGAAATGTGTTGTGTACAAGCCGACAACCGGGGAGGGACAAAAGTATAAAAGCCTTAGAGGAAACAGTGTCAGGGTCACAGCAATATTTAGAGTGGGTAAAATCTGACGGTGGCCTCATTCGGAGAAAAAGGTCTAAAAACATTCCAGAGCCGAAGTCCGTTTTGAAAGTAAGCGAGCTGAATAGTGCGTGTTGCAGAAGACAGCTAAGGAACATCTTGATTGATTTCAAAAGACAGGTTTGTGATTGTGATCAGTTCAAATATCTGAACAGTACTTCCGGATCCTCTTTAAATAGCACAGCGAGCTTAATTAGCAAGAGATTGGGGACTTTAACCAAACACTTCACACCCGTTACCTCACGTAATGATAACCAGTACAGTCCCAGCTTTTACACAGTGCAGGATTCTTTAAGTCAAGACTCCGGATTTGTCAGTATGCTTGTTGAAGGGCAGGTTCCCACTGGAGTTTCTCATTTTAAGGTTGGAGAACTTATCCACAAAGACATTATGGTAAAGGACGAACCTTCTTGTGACCTCCACAAGTCCATGTTTGGTCAAGCGATGGAGACTTTACACTCGAATTCGTGTTTTGAACGGACATTAAAGTTATCTAGAGAACAGTGTATCGCAGAACCCGTCTTAATGAAGAACGGATTTTATCTCGAAGAGCCAAAAAACCTTGATGTTCTGTACTGTATGATAGCAGATGAGGATGGAGACAGGTAAGAATAAAGATTTGTCCTTGTGATAAACCCTCTATTAGCGGTACAATAAATTCATAATTATTAATTTTATATCGATGTTTATTTCACTTGAAATAGAACAATAATTGGTAATTGTGCTGTAGAAATAGCATGTATAACGTAGTATTATGTGGTAATGAATAGAAAAAATACTAACAACTGTTGAATGATTGTGTATATATATATGTGGTAAATATAACGTAGTATTATGTGGTAATGAATAGAAAAAATACTACCAACTGTTGAATGATTATATATATATATATATATATATGTATAAAATTTTTCAAATAAACTGTATTACATCAAAAGCGTACAGGCGACCACTCAGCACTGTATAGCTCTGACGAAATTATAATATAATCTACAATATATTTATTATATACGTAGATGTACACGCCAACAAAGTTCTAATATAACAATGTAAAATTATACCGTTTGTACAAAAGGTATCATTTTAAAGTGAAAATGTCTCCGATTATAGCTCCCAAAATCATCGGGGATTTTCCGTCTATCAGACATAATCAAAACAACAGATGCATAGCTAATCAGCATGTAACCGAAAACAAAGGGGATTAGGATCTGAGTGCTAGAACCCACAACGTCCCAGATCCCACTATTACTCACCATCTATAGCCGGTTGTGGGTATGATAGTTATCCCTAAAAAACCCATAAAAATAGAAATAAGATATTAAACCACCATTGATTTCTATCATAGATCATCCAACCTTCTCCTTAGTATATTTACTCAGATATTAAATTACAAAATATACAACCTAACTGTGGCATTTCAAGTAATAATATTGACACTTTATCACTGCAAGATATTGATAACTATTCAATATAGTATAAGCAGTGATACTTCAAATAATATTTCAGTTAATGTTTTTATTATTAACTATAAACCCACCTATATAGTTCTGATACCCCTTCCTCCCCCCTTTCTAAGAACATGACTTTCAAGTATAACTGGGTAAACTGAGCCAGGCCTAATTGCCTGAAGTTGGTCTTTCCAACCCAGAAATACTGAAAGTATTATAAAGTTAACGCTGGTCTTTATAATAAGATTATATAATATAATATATATATATATTCGACATTCCAACCATGATTTGATCGTTTTCACCGTTAAATAGGATAGATTGGTTCAGAAAATAGCAATACCATCGAGAAATGAAGAAACCTACAGGCGTCCCTGGGTTGATTTCTATAACTTTTCAGACTAAGCTTTTCTTGAACTAATGTCGGGGAGAAGAAAAGAGAAAAAAAAAATGACACCCAAAATTAGTTTTGCATAAAAATAAAGAGAAAAATCAAATAACAGTCAGCATCTGTGGGGGAAATAGTTTAGGGGTGTGACTTTGTTTGTTTGTTGTTAAGCACGGGGCTACACAATGGGCTAGCTGTGCTGAGCCCACCACGGGTATCGTAACCCTTTTTTATCATTATAAGCTTTCAGATTTGCCGCTGATCTGTGGGGGTGGGGGCATTTAGGAATGAATAAAACCTTTTAATCCTATTTCTAGGAATCACTCACGATTAATTTACACAATCCACATAATATTTTATGTAAACCACTGAAGCAACAAACAGTGGGTTAACCCTTGATTATTTATCATCATTGGTATTATGTACTTGCATTTAACGTGTTCATGGAATAAATATATATAATTTTACAGTTAAAAAAAAAGAAGACTTACAATCTTCTACAAAAATTATAATTATTTCTAAAATAGATCTATAGATAATAACGACAAAAGCATTAGCCACGTCATTCTTTTATCTTTTTCGTAAGGCTATGAAAATGAAAATGGGGTCCGAGGAACTTTTTTTTTTCTTCTGCAGTAGGGGGGCCGTCGAAGTGAGAGGCTTTTACCTCCGTACTTCCTCTACATGTCTAACCCATTCACTTAATATATTTGCAGTTTTAATCACGGGAGAGGCTTTGAAATTCACATTTATTCTGTTGCTATAATATAATTGGCTTCGCCTAATTTAGAGAGAACAACAAGCGCATTGTTTCCGGAACCTGACTGCAAGCGTGTTTTATTTGTCATGCAGGTAATTTCTTTTAAGTAAGCTATTTTCTGTTTCTATGACCTTCACTGTTCCGGTCCATGCATGAGTCATGCCCCTGGAGTAGGCATAGATTAACCGAAAAGTTGCTAATTTAAAAACAGGAATACATTCCACCAGTAGATCATTCATCAAACATACTACTGTGGTCAATACATTGAAAACACAAAATCCTGAATGTTTCCTGGTAAACTTTATAAAAAATAAAGGAAACTTAACAAATGTACATGTTTCAACCTGCCGTAAACGTACACTATTTACTCATAGAAACGAGCGTGACTACGAAATATTATGGCATTATAGCAACTGTACACATATGCAATATATATATATATATATATATAT